TTTAATTTTTAATTAAAGACCCCATGTCTTAAATAGTGAATTTTCTTTAACATATTAAGCATATACTTTATGTGAAGTCCAAAGCATTTGAGACAAATACACATCCGAGTCCTGTAAAGATCTGTTAGATTTCATAAGATCTGCAATCTAGCTAAAGGCAGAACTGTTGTGTCCTCACATGTAATTGCAGTCCAGTATTTTAATTTTGGCCAACACCTTGAGAAAGAACTGATGGCCAATGATAAAAGAGTAAGCAGAGGGGGGCATTTGCCTTACCACATTGGAGACCGCTTTCAGAGACCAGTTATATAGCTAAATTTGAGCCAGCATTAGAGCACGTTGCTGACTAACTTGGACAAAATTTTTCTAAAAAAAAAGACATTGAAGGCTTTAAAATAAAATCTACCGTTTTCTGAAATATTTTAACCTTACTCTTTCTGCAAGTAGCATCTATATGAAACGTAGAAAGCATTTTTTCAGGGGGGTTTTCACGTGATGTATTATTCTTAGTAGTCTGAGTATATTCACTTTCACTGAATATATACATTCACCACATGCCATCTATGTTTATGTGGCTTACTTCAAGCTGCCTGAGCTTAGACCAGGTATGGCATGTGCACCTATTAGCCACTACCAAGAGCTGCATGGACAACCCAAAGTTACTTGGAGTGGGGAGAGGGGCTGGTACGAACAGGCAGATTGGCAGGTTGGGGCAGAGGGCTGGCAGGTCTGTGCGGGGGGATTGCTGGGACCATGATGGGGAGTGTGTCGGTCATGGTAGGGAGTCAGGGGACTGCAAATAGCTTGGAAGATGGGTCAAGGGAGATGGCAATAGCACAACTGCGGGGTTGGGGTGCATGTCTGGGCTTTCCCAGCCCTGAGGTTGTGCTGTGAACACCTCAGGCATCCAAGCAATTGAATCATAAAGAAGTAGGGCTAGAAGGGACCTCCATAGGTCATCTATTCCAATCCTTCCTGCCCCATGTGGTAATCAACAAAGCCCAGAAGCATGGGAAATACCCACAGTAGAACACAAATATAGCTATACCTACATCATCCCTTACCAGTGGTTGTCGAACCTCTTCTTGAACACCTCCAGTGATGGAGAGTCCACAACTTCCCTAGGCAGCCTATTCCACTGCCTCACTGTTCTAACACTAGTTTAATCCTTTCCTAGATCAGGTTAACTCTTTCTTGATCTAAGTTTGTGCACCTCCTGAGTTGCAGTAACTTGGATCAGGCATTCCATTTTTTTGTCCAAATTAACTCCTCTGAATGGCTGTGTGATTGGGCATTCAGATAGACCTGACCCTGGTTAGGTCAACCTAAATGTAACTCTGTATGTACCTATTGTGTCCCTGCTTGGCCCATTATTTTCTCTTTCAGTTTGTGTGGGTCTTTCATACAACAAAAGAGAGAAAAACTTTTTGTAATAAAGAGAATGTATAAAGCCACAAAAATGGCAGAGGCCTTCTGGGGTGTTGAAATCACTGTAACCCACATTTTAAATGCCATAGTTTCAGGCTAATTGTGCATTTTTGTCAAAGACAGCTGCCCTAGGTTTATTTGCATCATTAAGTGTTCCCCATTTATACTGAACTTCCAAGAAGCTTTAGTTACTGAGAAATTCTAGGCATATGCCACAGAGAATCACTATTGGCATCCTGAACATCCCAGCCCAGGCCTGCACATATAACATTTATTCCTTATTTTTCACTGTAGATAAAAATTTCAGATAATGGATTTCTTTTCCTTCTTTTTCACGATGAATGCTGTGAGACTTAAATATGCTGGATCAACAGGTGAGAAACTTAGATTTCTTATTTGTCAGTTTATGTACTACATCAGGGTGGCTAAACTGCAGCACAAGTGGCATGCACAACCTGTGTGCGTGGCACATGGCAGATTAAAGGGGGAACAGGCAGCACAGTGGCAGAAAGAGCAGGAAGCAGAAAGCAGAGCAGGAGATTGAGCAGAGGAAGGGGATTGAAGTGGCACTCAGAGAGGGTGCAGGGCTAATTTGTGCCATTCCAGCCAAAAAAGGTTGGCCCCCCCACTGTATTATATGATGGACAGCATCCTGAATGCTCTGCTCATGTCCTTTAACTCTGTCCCATTGTGACAATTTCTCTGAGTGAACATCTTCTAGTCAACAGAGTTTCCTGAGGACAACTGAGGACACAGAAGAGCACTCACTGGATGACTGCCACAATTCTCCCTGCTTCCTGTGCGGGGGGAGGGAAGAGTAGAGCAATGTGTGATGCTGGAAGACCACTGGAGCATGCAGACCTTTCAGGAAATGCTTCAAAGATCTTCCTCTTTTTCCAAGGATCATTTTTGAAGTGCTGTGGTCATTTCTGGGAGTGCTTTAAAGAGATGTGGAGCACTTCAAGCAACACATCTGTCCCTAGCCTCAGACCCGATTTTCATTCAGCCCTTGAGCTGCCTGTTGAAGTGGCCTATCAAATGTGATAAGTAGTACCAATTGGGGTTTTTTTTTTTATGAAAAGGACAACTATGCACTAGAAATTGGGCTGATGCCACCCATTTATCTCACTGAACAGTGATCATAGACCAAAATTAAGGTTTATCTCCAAGCAAATTGGAATTGCAGTAATTAAAACAGCTTGTAAATCAAGCTTAAGTCAGTTTGTAAAGTCTGAAATAAGAAAATGTTTACATAAAAAGGCTTAAACCAAAATCACTAAAGGGTAATCATTGATTACAATTATGTTTGGTTATTTTAGTTCCACTTCAACAGGCTCTTTAAATTTGAACAAACATTTTAAATAATTTTTGTGCCATCCTCTCTAAAACAGAAAAGCAATTAATTGTTTGTCAGTCAGTTAAGTTTGATTTAAAAACTAACCTCTACCTAAAGTATTTGATCCTTGACTGTTGGCTTTTTTTTCTAAAGGACCTTGCATAGATAAACAAAACAAAAAACAAACAAAGAAAAAATGCATCAAGAATGAAAGGCTTTATCTGATATCTCAATTACTTCAACTGAAGCACTGCCAAACACTTGTAGTACCCTCTTTCCTCATCTTCAGGGAAGAGTGGCAACTGCATTTTCAGTAGAACAATGGGCGACACTTTGTGAAAGGAAACAGAATGAAATAATTTTGATCCCAAGGGTACAAGTGAATTAAAAATGTTACCAAAAATTCTTATTGTGTCCTCCCTAACTGAATACTCTTTTTTAAAACTAAGACTATTTTTCAGAGTTAAATTCCCAAAATAAATCCTTTAAATGTTCTTTATCAGAACTGCGTAAAAACACCACATTTAGTTTCTAAGCCTCTATAATAAACATATAAATGATGTCAAAATCACACTCCACAGGGATTTTATTCAGAAGAAAAACTTTACAAAGCCCCCCAGAATGTTAGTCTTTGTAAGTCTAGTAATTAGTCTTGCATATATCTTTAACATCCTCTGTAATTCAGTATGGTCTGTACAATATTATTCAGCATATCTTGGCCCCTATAATATGTGTTACCATATAACAGATATGTTTAGGGTAAAATTATTTTAAATACTCTTTATATTTGTATGTGTGATATCACTGTAGTTACAAATATGGTACTATCTGTTTGGATAGAAGAGCAGACTGATAGCAGTTGCTACTAATTAATACTAATTAATACTTTACAAATTAACTTGGACCAGATAGAAAGAGGAAAACATTTTGCCTCCACAAACCCTACTGAACTCAAGAGTTGTTGGGGCATAAGCAATGCAGAGTCAGTCTCCTGATTTGTAACTTAAGAACACCACACCTCTCAGCAGCAGAATTTTTCAGCTGTGCACTTGTAAATTTATATGAAGTCCTTTTCAAAAGGTGGACATAAATTTCACATCCTCTAGTTCAGAGTACCGGCAGCCACATGGAACTAATGGCACATGATTCCAGTTGCTTGGTTCATACATTCTGCTATGATACGCAGTTCAATCCATGACTCCAACTCCTTCATCAATGTGTGCAGTTGCTCCAATATGCATGAAGAAATAACCCACCCATGGCAATCAATATCTCTGCTACACCTAATAAATAAAATAACTTGTTAACCTTTAATAGCTATGAGCTGTAATGCTCACTTTACATTTACAATGGATCTTCCACAGAGTTACATGGGATATCCACTAAATTAATGTGTACAGTGAACATCAAGTGAATCTAGTATGATTGAACAGTTAAAAAGTTACTTAAGTCTGAGTTACTGGCTTCTGTTGTTATCAACAGGTTAATTTATGGCAAATTCATAGCAGCAAACAAGAATTATAAATATAAATGAGCACTTAAAATAATATTGATATGTCAGCATCAGTTCTGATATTATTAACATGGGTATGAATGCATTATGCATCTGTAAAGGGTTTTGAATTTTTATAGAGATGTTAACAACATCTGTCAGCATTTATTGCCCTGGTGTGACCATGTAAAGAGCCTTATTGGCAGGATATATATGTGGAGAAATCTGCTACATTGTTGTAGTCTGCCATAACTCTGAAATATCACTCTAACTAGAAGCTGAGATAATCAAATTTTAAAAAATTATAGGATAAGCATGCAGTGGGTTCTTCAGCCAGAGTTTTATAAGGAAAGAAATTAA